GTGGGTAAAAGTGCTGCGGTTTGTCCCCTGTTCCAGCTAGGAAGCAGTCCTTTGGCGGAGGTACCCAGTTGGGGTACAGGGAGCTCTGCTACAAGTATGTAAGTAAAACTGGGCAGGTATGTAAGTTGGCCTATCACATTTAACGACTAAGATATCTGCAGGTCGATTTCAAACTGAGGGACTGTGAAAAGGATCATGGGGCCTATATGTTCTGGGTCAGTACACCAAAATAAAGGACTGTCTCATATAATTCAGAACTCTTGGCACTTTTGCACTTATACCACCATTTTTCCTACAACAGCCTGAATTAATTCTGTCGTGGATTAAAGTCCTAAACATATTATTTGTAATATAAGAATCAAGAAAAACAGAAAGCAAGATAAACAGTTGGCTGAGATATAAAAAGTTTGGTCCTTTAAAATCAGCTCTTTTTAGATGGCACAATCCAGGCATGTTTTATTAGGTACATTACACTTTGTACAGAAACACATCCTATACAAGTTATAGCATAACATATTTGTTTAAAGGTTTACTGGCTAACTCTGCCAACATGTAACTACTGCCATATATCCCCATCATTTTGCCTGTTACAGCTTTATTCATTGACACAAATTTTAAAGATATGATCGTTTCCAACATTTTATTAGCGTTGAAATATGTAATTTAAACATTCTGCCATATTTAAAGTCTGTAAAAATATATACTGTGCCCTTTAACTTCGGTAATCAGTTTTCAGTCATCCCCACGATGAGAGCCTCTTTGTTTGAACAGAAAAAAATTAGAACAAATACCTCTTTAGTCGTGGCAACAAAATTATCTGCTCGTTTAGGATACTGATCCTTAAATTCTAAAATAACCGGTGGCGTGAAATTATATTAATATCCTAAAATCCCCCTCAACTCTCGCATTAGTTAGAAGATGCCAATTTCTCTTGTTCTCTGCTGTGGCAATTTAAATGGTCCGTCTGCGTTGCTCGTCCGATAAATTAAAACCAAACATAAAAAGTAGCTTTACCTTTCCTGACACTTTTTTGTTTTCTTTTCTCATTTATTCTGAAATAATTGCAAGATTGTGAAATGCACATCTTTATCTGTTTAATTACTTTTTGAGCATAAAATATGTCTTACTTGTAATTCAGCAAAGGGAGCTGCAGTGATAGACGGAGACAAGCCAAACTTTCTGAAAGGGTAAGTATCACGCCAATTATAACTAATGTTCTTGTAAATGTGCATAAAATTATGTCTATACATTGTACTTGCAGAGTTTAGATTGGGAGAATTTTTTTTTTTTTATTAAATATAGGTGTTTCTCCCACCTGTCAATCAATTCTTTGGCACTGACTCTATGCCAAAGAATTGAGAGACAGGAAGAGCAAAAGAGATCTCCCACAGGCGGTGCTTCTGCTCTCCATGCATTGAAACCACAACACGTGTGTGGTAAAGAACAAAAAAACAAATTTTTCTCCATTCAAATGGTTGAAATATATTAGGTTCAGGCACACAGGATTTCTGCAGGAAGGCAGGTTTATTGGAACAAAGAGTGCAATGTTTAGGCCTACACAGGGGCCTTTATCAAGCTTGATAGATAAAGGCCTCTGTGTAGGCCGAAACGTTGCACTTTTTGTTCCAATAAACCTGCCTTCCTGCAGAAATCCTGAGTGCTTGGAGCTAATTTATTTTATCTACCAAACTGGGTTTTGCCAACCCAGGCCCTGATAAGCACCTGGATTCCTAAGTGTGAGTGCGGTATCCTCCATTTGTGAATTTCTCCATTCAGATGGTGCCAAAGAAGCCAGCATGTTTGCGTTGGGAAGTGTCCCCAAGTAGGGCAAATCAATGAAGACACTAATTGTATGGTTCAATGATTCTTTGGGTACAGTCAAGTGTTTTTGTCAAGTATTTTTAAATGATTTAACAAGAAACAAGGCCCCCCCCCCATACTCAAAGTCAGGCCCCTCTGCTGATGTCAGATAATGTGTTATTAACAAGAAGTGCCCATGATGGTTGACTGAGAAAACGTGAGGCGGTTTAAAGAAGTGCCGAACTTCAAGGAATACATTTCATGAAGTTCCCTATAGCACAATGAGTAAGTCTTTAATTATTTAAAATGTTAACGCTATGACTTACTCTGACAAGCCGTTAGCAATAGAACTGACAATCCCCTTTGGAAATAAAAGAATGTTTAGCTCCCTTAATACTTGCCAGCCCTCAGCAAAGAATATCTGTCCCATAAAGACCAGATACAGGGTGACCCAAATTAAATCATATGTGTCTCCAGTTTATTCTTATTAATATCTTGCATATGTCTCTGGTAGGGCTAAGATTACTGAAACATAAATAGATCCAGATTACACAAATTAAGAAATCTAAGTCAAATTAAAGCAGATATTACTTAGTGACTCCACCGTGCGGTATTATTGTCCACATACAGTTCAGTGGGGTCTCCACACCGCCCTTATGTTGTGCCAGTATTAACAGAGACAATTAAGCGTCTCAGTGCACCTGACTATATAGCTATGTAACTCTCCATGAAGAATGTGAAACAAATCAGAAAAGACACAGAAAGGCTTGCATGAGGTGTCTTTCAATGCACAATTTTTCTTTTCTTTTTACAAATTCATCTAATGCACGTATGGCCATTAAACATCAGAACATAGCATAACATTTAGAGGTTACTACAGAGCTTCCTTAATTATGGATGTGTAACATTTTAAACTTCAGGAGGCTGGGATACTCAAATCTGCCTGCAATGCAAGCAACAATCTAATGAGTATCACTTGTACTGTAACAAGAGATTATATCTGCTCCCATACTTGAGTGCTTGGTTTAGATGTACTGGCTTTCTAAACTAGTAGTTCTGCTGTGAAAAGCCTTGTGCGGGTGGAGCTAACAGGTGCAATATCTCAGGATCTGAGGCTGAACACGCAAATTAAAGAACACTTTAATTCCAAAGGACCACACAGACTAAACATAGAAATACATTATTACTCAGACTGCGTGACAGAGCAAGAGGCAATCTAAAGGCAAGTGATTATTTGCATTTATTCTAGATTAAAGGACAAAGACCTTTCTTTAAAATGTCTAAAACGTTCATCTTTTGATAGATGTAAGGCTGGAGCTGTGGTTGTGGGAGGGGCTTGTTTCCCTTCGTAAGGACGCCAGACCTCTCCCCATTATCGTTTTTAGTCTAGCGATTTGCACCTCCCACCACTCAATTTTCTCATATTATTATCTATAATAAAAGAGGGCCCTCCGCACCGTCAGTTCTGGCACACCACAATCGACTTTTTTCATATAACTATATGTCTCACATAGGGACTAGAGATGAGCGAACCCAAACTGAAAAGTTTGGGTTCGTACTGAACATTAGGTTTTTTTGAGCCCGGACCCGAACACGGACATATCACTGTATGTTCGGGTTGGAGTTCGGTGTTCTGCGTGTTCTGAAAGGCTGCAGGGCAGCCAATCAACAAGCGTTTGACTCGTGTGCCCTTAGAAGCCATCACAGCCATGCCTACTAATGGTATGGCCTGTGATTGGCCAGTGCAGCATGTGACCCAGCCTCAATATATAAGCTGGAGTCGCATAGCGCCGCACGCACATGCGGTCTTATTAGTGTAGGGAGAGGATGCTGCAGCTGAGAGGGACAGCTTAGGAAAGAATTCTGCAAACTAGTCAAATAGAAGCTTCAAATACCGCGGTTACATCAGAGTTTTAAAAAGTAATTTTTTTTGGTGCTAAATAGTACATTAGTGGGGTAGAACATTAGTGGGATGCACTTCATATCTGAGAGTCAAATAGAAGCGTCAAATACTGCTGTCACATTGCAGTTTTAAAACTTAAAATTTTTTGGGGTCCTAAACTGCTAAATAGTATTTTAGTGTGGTGCACTTTAGATCTGAGAGTCAAATCGAAGTGTCTAATACTGTGCTTATAGCGCAGTGGTAAACATTCTTATTTTCTGGGTGCTAATCTGCTAAATAGTACATTTTGGGGCGTGTTCTTCATATCTGAGACTCAAATCGAAGCGTCTAATAGTGTGCTAACTGCGCACTTATAAACATTCTAATTGTTTTGCTGCTAATCTGCTAAATAGTAAATTTTGGGGCCTGTTCTTCATATCTGAGAGTGAAATCAGAGCGTCTATTAATGTCCTTTCTGCGCACTTGTAAACATTCTAATTGTTTTGCTGCTAATCTGCTGCTTATGTTGGAGTTTTAAAAAGTAAATTTTTTTGCGGGGGCACTAAATAGTATATTTTCACTTCATATCTGAGAGTCAAATTGAAGCAAATTTACTACATCGGTCACTTGTAATATTGTTTCACACCTACAACACTTGTTACACAGATCTAAGTGATAGAAAACAGATTGATATTTTCTACACTAGAAACTACCAGATAACAAGCTGCTATATTAAACCCCCTAAGGACCAAACTTCTGGAATAAAAGGGAATCATGACATGTTACACATGTCATGTGTCCTTAAGGGGTTAAACCAGTGATCAATAGCTAAGAGGTACTTCAACAATATTGTAATTCTGGGGCAATACCCTCACAAGTCAAACTGAGAGGTCAGTTTATAGGGAAAACTGTTGCCTGGAGAAAATTCTAAAACAATTTCCATATGTCCTTTGCAGACTTTACATGCTGGAAAAACACAGGTGCCAACTGCTGTGGCTTTCTGCAGTGTGCATATCGGCAAGGAGGGCAGGTTTGAGGAGTGGGTGGAAGATGATGTGGATGATGATGAGGTCCTAGACCCCACATGGAATCAAGGTCATGCGAGTGATGTGTGCAGTTTGGAGGAAGAGGCGCTGGTTGCACAGAGGCACCAGCACAGCATAAGAGGGAGCAGGGTGTAAAAGCAGAGCGGCTGTCCCCTAGCACTCGTCGGCATGTATTAGCTCGAGAATTACCAGTTATCCAAGTAATACATGTAGCGATCAAAGTATCCATAATAGAGTTGAGCGAACCCGAACTGCAAAGTTTGCCCTCCTGCTGCCTTCCTTGCATGTGGTAGCCGTTTCTCTGTACGGAATGGAACCCTGATTCCCCGTTACCCATGGTCACCATGGTAGGCGCAGAAACTGGCATCGACATCCGCTATTATATGGATGACATCCGCATGCAAAGTCGCTGCCACAGGGATGTGCGATTTGCACGAAGTTCTCTAGAGTCAACAAAGTTCCTGTGCAACTATAATTTCAAGAGCTACTCTGCGGAACAGAGTAGTCATTTTTTATATGTCCCAATATTTTGGGGGCTACCCCAATCAAAAAATAAATAAATAAATAAATATATATATATATATATATATATAAACAGTGTTGGCTACCTCATCCTCCTCCACCGCCACGGTCACTGCCTCCTCTACCTATAGGTCACTTAGTATAAACTAGGTACACATTAGCAGAGGCTTGTGAAGGCCTTTTCTCCATGCATCAGGAGTTAAGCATTTCTCCATGCATCAGGACTGCAAGAAATGCACCGCAGGCCGCAAATGTTTCTTTATTTGTATGTCCCAATAGTTTGTGGGCTACCACAATAAAAAAAAACCCCATAAAATACGGTGTTGGCTACCTCATCCTCCTCCTCCACGCGCACGGTCACCGCCTCCTCAACCTATGGGTCACTTAGTATAAACTATGTACACAATAGCAGAGGCTTGTGAAGGCCTTTTCTCCATGCATCAGGAGTTGACCTCAGTTTGAACAATGAAAGAGAATACCCTGCACTCCAACCCTCTCTCAAATGGATAATTCTATTGATCCTCCTGACAGCCATGCTTTAGATTTTGATATATGTTCTTCCAAAGCTAAATTCAAAGATTCCATCTAGTGCTATTTTATGGCTCAGCTGTATTTTTAATTTTTATGTTATTTTAAGTGATTTCCCTATCCACATTTGTTTGTAGGGCACTTGTCCTACTCTTACCGCCATTTTACTTCCTTTTGCAGCTCCCTAGCCCTTTCCAGGAGTTTTTTTATAGGCATTTTTGGGGCCAAAAGTTCGGGTCCCCATTGACTTCAATGGGGTTCAGGGTCAAGTTCAGGGTCAAGTTCGAGCCCGAACCCGGACTTTTTTTCAAATTTCGGCTGAACCCGCCGGACCCAAACAGCCAGGTGTCCGCTCAACTCTAATAGGGACCTTACATACCTACTTCGTATATGCTCTCATTACGGCTTTTATAACCCGACTACAATTATACAATAAAAGGTGGGTTTTTTTAGATGCTAAGCCATAGAAAGGCAATAATAGTGGTAAGCTAGCAAAGCATCATGGGAACAAAAGATTTTGGATGGCTGAAACAACCCTTCTTTTACAATGTCTAATGCTTTGAGGGGGAACTTACAAAATGTTGTTTTTGTTTTTTTTCATTTTTTTTCTTTATTCCTACGCTATCTATAATTATATTTAAAAAAGATTCCTGTGGCCAGTTTAGCCATCAGTCAGGGCAAGTCACCTTGATGATGATACAAGTATTCTATCAATAGAATTGCAAGTTTGCAGAGGAGCTTACATGATGAACCAGTACACTGTTTTAGAATGTTCTATACTCTCCCTTCAAGCATGAGAACTGCTTGCCAAGTGAATATTGCAGGATATAGATCAGGAGAGCCACCTAAGGGGAGGGTTCTCCAGCTCTCCTCTGTCACTCAATCCTCACCGTAGACTATATACACTATATGCCTTCTTCTTAAAGAGAAATATGCCAAGAGTTGACTGACAGACAGGGAAGGGGGAATACATGTAAAGAGTTTTAGAGTTTACTTTAAAGAAACTATTTGACAGGTCTGCCTAGATTATAAACTCATTCGAACCGCCTCATAAGAAGCATTGGATTGCAGAAGATTGCAGAAGATGTCAGCTGGCTTTGTGATGTCTTTGAAGGTGGAGTGGATGACTGCAGTGGAAATGAGGTAAGCAATCTTTGACTTTTATTTTTTAATACCAAAAGGGATGGACAAAGGTGGCTGGAAAGAAGGGATCCTAAAGTCCCCCCAAAAAACTATTGTCATTTTTGGGATTATAGGTTCCTTTTAACTGTTTTATACAGATGAAAGAGAAAGAGGTGAACAACTGTCAATGGAGATTGAATAAGAGATAGATTATACATATCCACAAATAGCTGTCTTTTTTAAACTGCTTCTTTTTATAACTCGGATAGAAAAATAGGATGTGTGCTAATTGGGGCAAGGGTCATAGAATCAGGAACCAAGGGTAGGTCCACCTGTTGTTTTTCTCCAGATAATTTAGAGTTTAGGGTAAAATGAGCTTATTAGATAAATTTAATTTCACTGCATTAGTTTAAGTAGAAATCAGATTAAAAATGCCCCATTTCTGTAAAATGCTAAATCGAAAAGCCAATATATGTATTAATATACAAAAATGTGATATACATAATTTACACTAGTGATAATTTTATTTTAAAGTATCGCTAAGAATTAGTTTTATTGCAATATTTTGAAGGAATTAACTATGCATGTGTCTCCCATTAAGTCCATTTGCTTCATAGAAAGAAATTTGCCTATTACAGAGGATCCAGGGATAGATATTGTTTTCACAGAGACAACACGCCATTTTTGTAGGTAATTGAAAAGTCCTTCGTGTGTATAATATGTAACGGGTCATTTGGATTCATGAGACATGCCTTTGATCCCATGTTGTGGAAGCACTTAATGCTAATGACAAGAATGAGTTTGTTAGTATTCAACTAGCACAGAAAAATGCTTGATTCATCCAGTTTTCAAAGAGTAATTAAACTGAAGAGGAAGATGGAAGCGATGACATGAATTGATTACCCAGAAGGAGTGTCACTTACACCCCTGTTGCCACTTTGATATAGATTTCCCCCCCTTCCCCAATTTGACAGGAAATAGCACTTTAATCAGTTAACTATTATGAGTGGCTGCAGCGATATCGGCATATATAATATACAATATATAAGATATAAAAAAGGCTATGAATAATTGTTTTAGAGCCGTTTAAATTACAATATATTTGTTAGATTGGTGATTTATGGACAAAAGTACAGTCTACAGTCAGTTATATATAAAGTGGGCAAAATATTGCATTGTCAACCTACAATTAGAATAAATAGGAGTGTAGTAAAATGATATATGACAAAATACAACTATTTCAATACTCAGCTATGCAGTTTGTGCACCAAACTTAAGTCCAAGGTCACGATGTTTTTTTTTTTAATTTTTGGTCTATCCCAGGTATTATATATGTATATATTCTCAATGTATAAGTGTTTGTTCTTTCCTTGTATATATTTCTTACATTCTTGTAATATAGAGGTAGAATGTCCCTTTAAGACATTTCTACTAAGGTTTTTAGAAAATACATTAAATTATGCACTCACGGTTATTCAATAAATTGTTAACAATTGAGATAATTCCACATATTATAATCAACATAGCTAAACCTCAACACGAATAATGTGTGATAATTGTTTAGATATTTAGGCCTACATTTTTAAATAGCTGGCGAGTTCCTGAAAACTTTAGTAAATTTCCCCGACTCTTTTTCAATTTAATAAATGAAAAAGGACTTCAGATCAGCAAAGCACAAGCCAAGTACTATGTTTGTTTAAATTTCTAATAATGTCAGGCTGTCTCGCAGAGCTACAAAGCCCAAAAAATCAATTAATTGCCAAGACACAGCCCCATCCGGCTCACTGGCCATTCTGTCTATTCTCTGGAGAATTGTGCTGAACACTTTATAATGGTGTATGGCACAACTGGTTTGAGCTGGGCATAATACGATGTACATCCATGCAGTGAACTAATTAAAACACCAGTGAAAAGAATAGAATGTTAATGAACTGTGGAAAGATTGTGATAATAATCTTTCCTCTGTGTTCCTTCCATTAGTTGATGGCATTTTTTAACAGCACAGACAATACTTGGTGTGTACGCTGAATAAGATTGCATTACTGGTATGCATTAACTATTTGAGTGCCAGAGTTATGCCCAACACACTGTCTTGCTTCCTCCTGAGTTTAGTTCCACGGAGCTAAACAAACCAGGAAGTAGCAGGACCAGTTGTCTGATTGACAATCAGGGGAGGTGGGGTGGAGGGGGGGTAAACAAGGTTAATTTATAAAAATGCCAGCTTCTAATGAAATCAGCACTTTTTGTAAAATGTAAAAAACAAGACACACTCTTCACACGAAGAGCACTTCAGCAAGCTAACCTGCTATAGGTGTTTGGATAGTACTGATGAGAATCATTGTCTACCAAACCATCTGTAAAATTATTAGAAATATTTTCTATACTCTTAATAATAAGTGGATGTTAGTCAATTAATAAAAAATACAATACTGTTAATATTTTTCATATCAATCATAGAAACATGCTCATTAAATTATTGTTAATGTATTTATAGAGATGGGTATATGCCAAAGATCAGTAGATCAGTTTCCTCTCGTTCTGGTTTCATTGCAGAGTATTAGAATTGTGAATGTACTTTATGTGTCACTTGACATGTTTGTTATATAATAACTGTAAAGCAGCATTAATAACATTTTATCATTTCTGTATAACAAAGAGAGAGTGACATTACTCATTTATATTTAGCATACCTCCCAACATCAATGCTCCATTGAGATGGGGAGAAAGGGGTGACTTAGAGAGGAGTATGCATCAAGGAGTATTCATCAAGCATGCCAACGGGGGCAGACCCACCCAGAAAGGTTTGGCAAATGATTGGCAGGTCAGCCTGGCATGAATGTATGCAAGGCTGCCTGTCAATCACCCTGATCGGCCCACAGATGGCAGACCCTGCAGGGAGCACCGTTTCAGTGCTCTCTGCAGGGTCCTAGTGCCTTGAGTGTAGCAAGAGCATGTCTAATGATGGGCACGCACTACACGTTTTTGTGGACAACTGCCTATTGTCCCCAAAAGCAGAATATATGTCTTTACATATATCTTTACATTATCAGCCTCACATTTTGGCACTGATTGGATTAACATCAATTAAACTCACCTTTATTCCATCTCCGGGAGAGTCTCCTCGCTGCGCTATGATCTGCTTTCTGTGAAGTCATCTGTAAAGATGACTTGAGTCCAGTCAGAATCTTCTCAGCACAAGTATTGGGGCACACCAACAATGCTTGAAACCAAAGCTCTCTATGAGAAACATTCCCTTCCTCTTTGAACTGTAGATCAAAGCAAGAAAGGCAGGAATCGGCACTTTTATAAAATACACCAATAGGCTCATGGAGTTGAAACCAAAAGCACTTCAGCGAGTTGTATTTTAGAGCCCTGGACTTTCCTGTTTAGGGATTAAGGATGATCCATTCATTTTTAATAATTTGTGTTTTAAAAATCCCACTTTGGATTTCCCTAC